GCACTGAGATACCCTGAGCCTGCTGGGGGGCCGTGGCCACTGTGGGAGCTGGACCTGGAGTTGGACAGGAGTCCAAGAGCCCAGGGAGGAGGCTGGGGGTGGGGGTTGGGGTGTCCCTGGGAGAGACCCAGCCAGAGGCTGATGGGAGGTGCCCAGGATGACGCACGCAGGCCTTCCCTGAGCCGGCCTCCGACGGACCAGGGGACAGCAGATGTGGGGGAGCATCCCACTGGGGACATGTTGCGGGGTGCCGGGCGGGAGCCATCCGGAGGCAGCTGCGCCCAGAGAGCGTGCCCTGGGGCAGGAGAGGGAAGCCTGTGGTGGTGGTTGCAGAGGCAGGACCTGAAGCCATGGCCTTGGGGTCTGCGGCCCGGGAAGGGTGTCGGGGTGACCCGGCTCCCCTCGGTCTCAGGGTGTGCTCCGTACGCTCCGTGGACGGCTCCCCCACCACGGCGTTCACGGTGCTGGAGTGCGAGGGCTCCCGGCGGCTCGGCTCGCGGCCGCGGCGTTACCTGCTCACCGGCCAGGCCAACGGCAGCCTGGCCATGTGGGACCTGACCACCGCCATGGATGGCCTTGGCCAGGCCCCCGGTACGCCCTGCCCGCCTCGGGGTCCCCCCTGGCCCCCACCCCCAACCCCCGCCCCTGCCCTCTGGGCCCTTCATCGGTCCCCCTGCCCCCCCCCAGTCCCTTGCCCAGTGATCCTCGTCTTGACCCCCGACCCCCTTCCTCGCCCCCCAGCCGGTGGCCTGACAGAGGAAGAGCTGATGGAGCAGCTGGAGCAGTGTGAGCTGGCCCCCCTGTCTTCCTCCAGGGGCTCCCTCCCCAGTCCCTCTCCCCGCACCTCCCTCACCAGGTAGGCACAACCCCACTTCCCCCTCTGTGCAATGGGAGAGGGGGCAGGATATGGTTGCGGGGCTGGGGGTGCTGCTCGCCTGCCCGGGATGACCCACACCAACCCCCATCACCCCTCCTAGTCTTCACTCCAGCAACACCTCCCTGGCTGGCCGGCGTGGGAGCCCGAGCCCCCCACAGGCTGAGGCCCGGCGCCGCGGGGGAGGCAGCTTCGTGGAACGCTGCCAGGAACTGGTGCGGAGTGGGCCAGAGCCCCGTAGGCCGCCGACACCAGCCCCCCGGCCCCCCACGGGTCTCGGAGCCCCCCTCGCGCCCCCCAAGGTGAAGCTCAATGAAACTTCCTTCTGAACATAACTGCCATGGTGCCTTTGGATACCCAGGTCCTGGGGGGCTCTGGTGCCTCCCTGCTTCCTGTCAGAGCCCCGGATTCAGGGCCAGGGCCTCCTTGGAGTGGTCACTGTTACTAGGCCCCCACTGTCCCCTCTTGTGGAACCAAAGTCACCCTCCCCTAATAAAGGTCTCACTGCCAACACCTTGCTGACATTCTTAGAGGCTTTGGGGGACCCCCAGGGAAAGGGTAGGAAAGATGTGGGGACCAACCAGATGTCTGGCTGTAGATTCAGGAAAATCTGGCTCTCGGTTCAAGCAAAGAAGGGGAACGGAATGATTTACCCCTGGCTTCAGGCATAGTTGGATCCAGGGATTCAAAAACTCTTCCAGAATGTCTTTCCATCTTCTGGGTTTGCTCGCTTCTGGGATGCATCATTCTCAGTCAGGTTTTCCCTTCTGGGTGCCAAGATGACTCCAGGTACCTCCTTAGCAACTTCTTTTTTTCTCTCTCTCTAGCAGCAGCAGCAAAAAATAATAATAATAATAAAAATCACATGACTGATTCTTAGTGGCTTGAATTTAGTCAGATGGCTGTCCCCTGAACCAATCACTGTAGTGCATGTGATGGAGGCCTTCCACTGTTCCAAGGGTCACCTGCCCTCACAAGCCAGGAGGTGAAATCAGCCCCATGTTGACAGATTGGAGGAGGAGTTTCTGGAAGGTGAATCAGGGTACTGTTACCACAAGCAGGGATGAATGGCTGCCTGTCAACAGAGACACAGATGTTGGCTCTGTGATCACCACATCCTTGACATTTGTACCCTAAACTTCACCATGCCAAACACCTTGCCTACATCCCTGGCTGCCCAGTCTCATCCCTTTCTGTCTTTTCCTTGGGCCAATGAAGAGGAGAGAAAGAGGGCCAGACTAAAAACAAGGGGTTTTAGAATCTGTTCATTTGAGAATTCCAGAGTTTCCGGAATGCCAGGGTTTCTAACATAGTGGAAAGGGGTCCAGAATGTTAGGGAATCTAGAACACAGAACTATTCCAGAATGCTACTGGATGGATGACATTAAGGTTCTCTGCATTTCAAATAATGCAGACTGCAGAAGTTTCTTGACAAAAGGGCCTGGAAGTCAATGATTCTAGAACAGAGGAGTGTTCTAGAATATATGTGACTCTACATTAGTAGGAATAGTTTGCATGCCAGAAATTCTGGAATGCTGAGAATTACAGGACACAGAAAGCAATCTGAAGTACTAGAATATCTAGAGCATAGGGTATTCTGGGATGTCAGCTCCTCTAGATCACTAGAGGGTTTGCTTGCATTCCAAGAAATCCATAATGGCCGGGAGTCTGGATTGTCAGAGAATCCAGAACATGATTGGGAAATAAGGGATCCTAAAACATGAGTGTTCTGGAATACCTATGAATCTCAGGCTCTGGAAATATTTCTACATGCTAGGACATTCAGAACCCGGGGGATATCTGAATGTTAGGAAGTCTAGAACATAGGAGGGGGTGTCTGGGATGTCTGGGAATCTAGAATGTGGGATGTTTTATAATCCTCACAGATCTAAAATATTGAGATAGTTTTTCCTTGCCAGGGAATCCAGAACACTTGTGTTATTGGAATGCTGGTGATTCTGGAACTGAGAGAGAGAGAATGTCGGAAAATCTGGAACACTAAAGAGATTTGTCTGTTTGTTAATACCGGTGGTAATACCCTGTGTGTGAGCACAGAATGGGAGGAAGCTCCCAGAATGCCACAGCTCTAGAACTCTGAGGGATTCTGAAGGGTTGAGATCAGAACAGGATCCAAAGGATGACATAGAAACGACCCTGGAAGATCCTGGCACTGATGGGGAGAAATTGGGAGCTGGGGACTCCAAAGTCAGGGGGGATGGGAAGCCAATACCATCCCCGGAAGTTGTAGTGGTGAGCCAGAGGCTGTTGCCTAGCAACGAGCATTGAAGATGCCCCGGATCCCTGGCAGAAAGGAGATATTTCGGCAGCGCCCCCAGCAAATGCTCCAGCCACAGGGTAGGAGGTGAGGAGGAGGGCAATGGGGGTAGGGATGGGGGTGTCAGGACACGCTGTCCCGCAGGGCCATGTAAACCGGGTTGCGGGGGGCCTCACAAAAACAGGGATACAGAGCACATTCAGTGGGCAGCAGGCAGTCCATATCATCAAGCTAGGACAGCCCACGAATGCCCGTGAGTGGGGCTTGAGTGTCATAGTTACTGCTCTAAGGGGCTGCATGTCCCTGGGTGGTGGGTGGGCCCAGATTCTAGGTGTCAGTGTGGGAGGGAGGCGTGGATTGCTGGAGGTGGCAGTAATAGTGTGAGTGTGGCTGTGTGAGTTACCCGATGATGCCTCTCTGTAACGGGGGAGGCTGAAGGGGTCGCCGATCCACCCTGCACACCCTCCACGGGAAGAAAGCGCAGGAGTAGGGGACGAGGATGAAGCTGGATCGGTTGATATTCTCAGCCTAGGGTGGGGCCCTTTGGTCGGGGCAGGTGGCTTAGTATCCTGTGGGGGTGGAGCCTGTGACTTGCTGAGGGCGGAGCTAAGGATCCAGAACTAGAAATCTCGAGATCCCTCACTCTGCCTCCAGGGATGGGGCCTGGAACCCGGAGGCGGGGCGAACACAAGGGGGTGGGGCTTGAAACCCCAGAGGCGGGGCGAACATGAAAGGGGTGGGGCCTGGAACCCCGGAGGCCGGGCTAGCGTGAAAGGGCTGGGGCTTGGGATCCTAAGTAGGGGTCTGGACCGGCGTTCGCTGTGGAAAGGCGAGTGACCTGAAACTCAGAGAATTGTGCAAGTAGGAAGCCAGTTCTGAAGCTCAGGGGGCGGTGACTTTGGGAGAAGCGAAGGAGTCTGGAACTCCCTAAAGAGCGCAGGTGACCCCCTAGGGGGCCTCCCCCGTGGCTTGGCGCTCCCGAAGGATGGTAGAGGGCCGACGCAGGGAGGGGACTGGAATTCCCTAAAGAGAGAGTCTGTAACTGTCAGTGGGAGGGATGCTGTTGGGAATCTAACGATTCTGGCTAGGGAAGGGGAGTCTGGTAAGCTCCAGGGGCAGCAGTGGATGGAGAGGAGTGTGAGAACAGTTCTTTGAGACCCCCCCTGGGAGAAAAGTCTGTGGGTCAGAGGCTACAGCCTTCTGAGGAGCAAACTTTTGCTAGTTGGACCCGGAACCCCTGAAGCATAGGCCCTGGAGAAGGGGAAATCCTTTGGGATGGTAGAGGCCCTCTAACGCCTGGGGCCTTAGAGGTGCCAGACCTGGGGCTTACTGTAGGATTAGCGCTCCTCCCCCAGAGTCCTGAGTCTCTTGCGTGAGAAGTGGATACCTCTAGAGGCTTCCAGCGTTTACACCAGTTGGGCAGCAAATTCTAATCAAACTCTCCCACAACGGTGAGCAAGGGATGAGGCCTGTGAGTCCAGTTCAGGGGACCCTGCCCGCTGCCTACGCATCCTTCCCAGCCGCGGGAGGGATCCCAGCACCTCCACCCTCCGGCGTCTCCTTCCCACGTCGGTCCCCGACTCCCCGATCTACCCTCCGGCATCGAGACCTCCAGGCCCCGGCGCCCCCCGCCCGGCACCTGTCCCTCTAGCCCCTCCCCTGCCGCCTTCCGATTGGCCGCGCGGGCAGCGCCCCCTGGAGGCGCCGGGCTCTGATTGGCGGGAAGTTCGCAGCCGGCTTGGACTGTGGAGAAAATGAGTCGGCCTCGGGCGGGGGCGGGAGGCGGGGCCGCGCCGAGCCGGACCCGCTGGACACACGGCCCGCCTGGAGCCGGACTCCACGCCGGACACGATGCGGCGGCCTGGCCCCAGCGGCCGCCGCCCCCTTCTGCTGGTGCTGCTGCTGCCGCTCTTCGCAGCCGCCGCCTCCGCTGCCAGCCCCAGCCCCAGCCCCGGCCCCAGCGAGGCCGTCGAGGTCGCGGGGATCCCGGGCCGCCGGGCCGGGTAAGCCCCGCTGCGACCCCTTCTCCCCTGTGCCCCCTCCACCCAATAAGCCTGGTGGCCCGGAAGGACAAGGACTCGCGGGTGTAGGGGAATACGAACCCAGTGCTTCGGGGTAGGGATGGAAGAGCCAGAGCCCTCGGATTTACTAGGACCCTCTATTTTTGCAGGGGTTAGAATCCGGGGAGTCCTGAAATTTTGAGGCGAGGGATTCGCCGCCGGTGTGGTAGATGGATAACATGGCCGCAGGGAATTCTAGGGTTTTTTTTTGGGAGAAGGGTCCCAGCCTATATGGGGATGGGGCTTTGAGTTTTCCTACGCTGATAGATGGGTGGGGCCCTCCAGCTGGGATGGGGTTCCCAAGCTTCTTGGGTGCTTAAGGAGGAGTATCGGAGGTTACGAAGGGATTCTATGGTGGGGCTGAGACGTCCTGGTTTTCTAGGGTTTGGAAATAGGCCTGGATGAATTAAAAGGGACCCTTGGATTTTCCTAATGACTAAGGAAGACGTGGACTTCGGGCTTGATGGCGGAGGGGCTTGCAGGGGGTTGTGCGGGGGCGGGGGGTTCCTCAGATTTCACGAGGGCTGGGGATGCTCTGGTTTCCTAGAATTAGGATTCCAGGCTTGAATGAAGGACCAGTGATTTCGCGGCAAGAGATCCCAAATTTCCTATAGATTTGGGGGGTTATAGCTACCCTTCCTGTCTGCGGGTGACGAGTTCCAAGGAAGCAGTCTGCCCAGCACCCCCACCCCCCGCCCTGCGGCCAGCGCTCCGTTACAAAGGCCCCGGGCTCCGCTCCCGCCTCGGTCTCTGCGAATGCGTTTAGTAACCCGAGCCGCGCCGGGGGCGGGGCCGGGAAGGGGTTAACCCGGAGAAAAGGCGGGAGGGAATACGGTAAGATCGGGGGTCCCGGGGGCTCCCATCCGGGCAGCCTCCCCTCCCACTGGGTCCCACCCGTCTGGAAAGAGTCCAGGCGCCCGACGTCCCCTCCGCAGCATCTCCCCACTGCCCTTCTCTCGGGGCCAGAGCGCGCGTCCTCGTCCCTCGCCCCCCTTAGCCTGCGGATAATGGATTTGTCTGGGGGGCCCCCTGGTTGCGACGCACTTGCGCTGGAGCTGAGGACTCCGCTCTCCAGAATCTGAGACCCTCTGGGCGCGGAGATTTCTCGAAGAACGACTGCTTCCTCCTGGTCAGGCGGGGAACTGAGGCCCAAAGACCAGGAGATGCCGGCTCCAGGACGCAGCGCGTGGAAGGGCAGGAACGGGCTAGACCTCAGGCCTTGGGATTCCCAGTTCTGGGCTGTGGCTCCTTCGGTATCCCCCTCCACCTCAGCACCCTGCTGGACCCACAGTCAAAAGAGGACCTCCCTCCCCAGCTGCTGAGGCCTGTGGAAGTGGCGCCACCTGCCGGCCACGCTCGGGATGACGGCTGAGTCAAGGACAGGGACGTGCGGGGAGGGCGGGTTCTAGATTCCCAGACAGTCGGGGTTTGGAAATGCGCTTAGAAATCCTCTTTGCGTCTTAAAAAAAAAAAAAAAACGTTTAAAGAAAGACTTTAAGATGCCCTTACCAATAAGACTTTACCACTAAACACCAGTAAATAAATAAAAGTAGGGTTTCTGTGACCTTCATCCCCAGAGAGTCTAAGCCAATTTGCCTCTCACTGTTTAGATGGGGAAACTGAGGCATCCAGCATAGCGCCTCCGATTGATCAAACATCCATTTCGAGTGCTCCCAAGCCTTCTCTTGGCTCTCCCACCCCCTACCCCCCATTGCCCTCTTTGGGGAGTCCTAGGGGGCTAGGGGCCTGAGTGACTTCCACCCCTGTTTATAGTCTTGCTGTTTGTCGGTGCTGCCCAGGCCGATCGCCCAGGAGAAGTCGCTGCTTCAGAGGTGGGTTCTTCTAGGTGGGGTACGGGTAGGGAGTGCGAGAGGGTAAGAGCAGAGGGGTCGGGCTCCCTTCCTCACGCCTCATCCCAGCTGGAATGCCAGATGCACTTGGTGGAAAGAAAGACTCAGTCCCTTCCTTCTCCACTTAGTCCCTGGCTGTCTCTGAAGCCTCCTGCAGGGTGGAGAGCTGCCCGCCGGAAAAGTGTGCCGGCCCACAGCAGTGCCTGACCCCAGTGCCCCTGGTGGTGCCGAGCCCCAGCCCCAGTGTGAGGAAGAGACAGGTGTCCCTCAACTGGCAGCCACTGACGTGAGTGTGCGATCCCTCCCCTACCAGTGCTCAGGAGCTCCCAGCTCTGCCTCCGTCCCGCACACCTTTCTCTCTGCTCCCTGCGTCTCCTCCCTTCTTCTCTATCTATCTGTGTCTCTCAACTTCTATCTCTGTTTCTACGGCTCCTTTGCATGCCTATCCCATCCTCTGGCTTTTCCGTCTCCATCTCTCTGCCCTCTCTCCATGTCCCCTCCCTGTATTTGTTCTTTGCCATTTCTGTCTGTTTCTCCCATCATTACCTGTCTCTAGTCCTCTGTGTCTCTCTTTTTTTCTCTTTCTCTCCCTTCCTCATCTGTTTCTTCCCCATCTTTGTCTCTGTTTCTCCCCAAGCCTGTGAAGAACCCTCAAGGTCTGGCCCCCGGAAAGGGATTGGAAGGAGGGAGGGGGGTGTTGGGAGAGCTGCTACCGGGAGATCCCCTGGCAGGGAAGGGCCCTTCTAGCTGCGGTGGGCGTGGGGGGAGGGGGTGTCCGTCTAACCGCATTTGTCTCCTCGGCGCTCTGCTCCCCAGGCTGCAGGAGGCCCGAGCTCTGCTGAGACGCAGGCGGCCCCGCGGGCCGGGGGGCCGGGCACTGCTGAGGAGGAGGCCCCCACAGCGCGCCCCTGCCGGCCAGACCCGGGGTAAGAACATCCGCCCTTCCTCTGCCGGGGGGCAGGGGGTGGGTCCGGGCCAGATAAAGCCGTCTGGTTCCCACGGTCCAGCCGCCGCCTAGCTGCCCCCCGTTGTAGTTCAGCCCACCCCCCAGCCCCTCAGGACACGGACCCTCTAGGGACCCTGGCGTCCGGCCGCGAGAGGTGAGCCCGGGACAGGGCCAGACGCCGGCCAGAGGCGCTGACCCGCGGGGGTGGGGCCGGGAAGCCAGGCGTCCGGGCTCCCTGCGGCCCAAGAGGGGGGCGCTGTCCCGGCAGAGAGCGCAGCCGAACTAGCCCAGACAACAAAAGCGATTGTGCGGGTTGGCGCCTGCCCGGTCACCGAATGCCCAAAATTGCGGGGCGGCTGGGAGCCAAAGGCCTCCCCCTGCTTCCCCGACCCTCCCCCTGCCCTCCTCCCACTCCAGCTCTCGGCCCCTGGGTTAGCACACCCCCTAGTCTCCACCACCCTCTAAAGTCCCCCTCCTGCTGTGGCCTTCAGCCCAGATGTGTCCCCTTCTCCCTAAAGTCTTCCAGATGTGGGCATCCGGCCAGATGTGAGGACCCCCGCCCACAGCCTCAATCCGCCGTTTGCTCTTATCCAATTCTGACTTCTCCTACCAGGTGTGGAGGGTCCTGGCCAGATGTGACTGCATCCCCAATTGTGCCCCCGCCCCAGCGTCCTGCCCACAATTCAGACCCCCAATTCCTTCATGGGCCCAGGTGCACCGACCCTTCTCTCCCCCAGATGTGCCACCTGGCCGCCCAGATGTGCATGACAGCCCCCTGTCCAGACGAAGCCTCTTTCTCTGTGTCTAGGGCGGTGGAGAATCAGCCTTTACCGGCCTCCCCAAATGTGGCCCCCACTCCTCTTTCCTCTTTATGGAGTCAGCCCCGTCTGGGGGGAAACCGGCCCGCCCCCACCTGTTCCCTTCCCCGCTGCTCCCCTGCGGGCCCCATTCACTTGTTGGTGCGAGGCGGGGGCAGACGGGGCGCCCCCCTCCCCCCTGCGAGTCTAGCGCCCAGCCTGCGCGCCTCTGGCTGCGCGCCCAGCCCCACGCGCCCCCGCGCGGCCGCCGGGGAGGGAGTGGTGGGGAGGGGGGGCCTGAGCGGGGGCGCGGCCGCCCTCCCCCGCAGGCGGGCGGGCGCGGCCGGGCCCCTCGGGCGGGCTGGGGCGGCGGCGCGGCGGAGCGCGGCGCTGCAGCCATGGCGGGCGGCGCGCGGGTGTCGCTATTGGTGCTGCTGGCGCTGCTCGGGCCGCAGCCCGCGCTGGGCCGGCCCCGAGAGCGCCTCCGCGTGCGCTTCACCCCGGCCGTGTGCGGCCTGCGCTGCGTCCATGGGCCAACCGGCTCCCGCTGTACCCCGACCTGCGCGCCCCGCAACGCCACCAGCGTGGACAGCGGCGCGCCCGGCGGGGCGGCCCCGGGGGGACCCGGCTTCCGCGCCTGTGAGTGCGGGGTGGTGGTCCCGAGGGAGGGGCTCCCCGGGGGAGGAGGGTCCCCGGGGACGGGAGAGACAGTCCCCCGGGGAGAGGGAGCCCAGATGCGGTGTGCAGGAGTGCTGGGGAATCCCTGGGGTATTTAAGGCAGGGGGACTTCAATTCCTGGCTTTGGGGGTTGAGTCCTGAGGGCCCCAATTTTGCAAGCGACGAGGCTTCTCAGGGACCTGTGGCGTCCCACGTGAGGGGATTGGGGCCGGCTTTCATGCCTCTGAGTCCAAGTGGGAGATACCAGAATGGAGGGACCCGGGAGCTCTGGGGAAGGGGGCCCCAATTCTGAGATTGTAAGGAGTCCCTGGAGAACAAGCAAGACTTTCAGGGCCCCGAGGAGTGTCCCAGTTTCTGTGTCTTGGGTGGGAGGGATTAGGAAAGCCCAGGATGAGAGTGCCTGTGAGGAGGGGGATTGGGGTGAGAAAAGTTGATCCCAAGAGCTGAGCGGGAAGGGGTCCCTAGGAGGGTCTCTGCAGGCCCCTGAGTTGCAAAGGTCGCACGTGGGAGAGAAATCCAGATAGGAGGCCTAGGGGGAGGGGCGCCCCCTGGGGGCCGAGGGTACAGGAGGGTACAGGAGGGTGCGCACCAGGCACCCCTGCAGTAGGGAGCCCCCCCGCGGGCTCAGGTGAGGTGGGGAGGGTGGGCCACCTGTTGGCCCCAGGGTGCAGGGATGGGCGGGCCCTCTGGGTCGGGGCCTACCTGCCCCCAACCCCAGAGGCCCTCTGGAGTGGGGAGTGGGGGCCCCTGGCTCTGAGAACTCGCCCAGCCTGGCCCCCAGCCAATCCAGCCCTGGCCGGCGTGAGCTCATCTCCCGCCTGAGCCCCCGCCCGCTGCCACTCCCTCTCTCCTCCCCTCCCTCCCTCCTTCCTACACTCCCTCCCGGCCCAGCCCCAACGCGCCCGTGCCAGGCGCCGTGCCCAGGCGGGTGCCAAGCCCCTGGAGGCACAGGAGGGGATTGTGGAGGAGGGTTGACCCCGGCAGGACCCCGATGTCCTCAGCTCCTTATTCATCCAGAGGCGTGGGGCATGGAGTTGGCTGTGCCCAAGTAGCGATCCGTCGCGGGTGTGGGAGCCCCAAGGGAGCTGGGTGGGGGGCCGGGAGTCAGACCGAGAGAAGGTGGAGAAATGCCCGTGGAGGCTGAGAAATGCCCTGAGACCTAGCTGGCTTACCCTGACCGCCGGCAGAGACCCTTCCTATTTTGGAATCCTGACTCCTAGTTAAGCCTCTCCTGCTACTCAATTAAGGACCCTTATTAGGACACTCTGGAGTCCTGGCCTGACTCCCCTAAGTAGGGGAGCCCAGAATCTCAGTCGTCAGACCCTAAGCCTCCTCCCCACCCCTATCAACAGACTCCAGAGACCAGCCCCTCCAGTGAAGTTCCCTCCCATTCTTCTGATGTAATCCCCCCAAACTGTGCCCCTCACCAGAGAACTCTGTAGTATTGTCCCTCAGCTACTCCTCCCTACTTTCCAGAAACCCCAGATTACAAACCCTATGTAGTGATAACTCCCCTCCCTAGCTGAATTCTCTTTCCACAAAAGACTACCATTCTCTTATATTTCCAACTGAGTGCCATCAGATTCCTGATTCCTGTCTTTCCAAGCCTTGCTTTTCCAGCTGACCCCCTCCCCAGGAACTTCTGATTCATCTATCTTCAGAGAAGCCCAGAGTTGGTCTTGATCAGCTGATTCTCACAAGAAGACTCTCCAGACACTGTGCTCCCCCTACGTAGCCATTAATCCAAAGACTCGAGCACCTAATCCCTTAGCTGGGAGGGGACAGGGATCCACAGTATCCTAGAATCTTCCCAGACGATTGAGGCTCTTGTGTGCTGGGGACTCCCAGGGAAACCCATTTCTCCACGTAAGCCCTGTTCTCAGCACCTTCAATCTAGCTGTCCCCTAGAAGGCACTAGAGTCCTGTTTTCTAGGTAACTCTCCCCAAAATAATTTAACAGACTTCTGTTGAAAGGGAGCTTCGGTTTCCTGTGAGCTAGGCTCTCTTTCCATTCTAGAAACCTTGAGCCGTCTTTGAATCCCAGAGTACTGCACTCTATGTGATCTCCTTCCAGGAGTCCAGTCCCTTTACCCTTCTAAACTGAAGGGGCTCCCTCTATGCTTTCCGTGTCTCCAGTGTGTGGCTCAGAATCCCACACACGCCTTCCTGGACGGCCCCAGCCGCCTGCCCCCTTCCTCCCCTCCGCACAGCTGTCTCCAGCTGTTCCCTGCAGCCCCGGGGGAGAGAGGGAGGGGGTGCCCTCGCAGGATACGTCCGGCCTTCTTTGGCTCAGAGGGCTCGGGGCTCCCCAAGGGTCCGGAATGCGGAGCCGCCGCCCTACCCCCGCCGCACCCCTCTCTTTGTTTACCCCGCCGCACAGCTGGCAGTGCCCCGCCCAGAGGTGGCGGGGGGCCCAGCGAGGGCGCGCAGCGGGGAGAGGAGGCGCGTTCCCGTCGCGGCCCCGCCCCGGGGCTACAGGAGGCGGGAAGGCAGGGCTGGAGCTCCCGGGCCGGAGCCGGAGGGGAGGTGGGCGGAGACAAAGCGCGGTGGGTGGAGCCAGGACACCCGGAGAGCCAAGGAGGTGGGGCCGAAGGAGCGCCCGCCGGAGGGGGGAATCGGCGTGAGGGAAGGAAGGTGGGCGGGGCTAAAGGTGCAGGTTAAACACCTTGACAGGCGAGGTTTAGAATCCGGCGGATAGAGGGTACCGTGTGCGAGGACCTCAGCAGGGGGACGCACAACTAGGGGGCAGAGCTTGAGTGTCGCGGACCCGGCCAGACGGGGATGTGCGTGTACCTAGAACGGTAAAGAGACAGAGCTGGGAGAGGGGAGTGGTGCCCGGGGCGGGGCAGGGGGCAAAATGTCGATTTAGTCCATGGAAGAGACCAGCGCCGGGTCTGCGTAGCTAGAACAGCATGCGACCCAGCCAGATGATGGATGGGCGGGGCTAGATGCTAAGGAAAGAGCTAGAGTGGTCGGGCTGAGCCAATGGGCGGAGACAGCGCTGTCGGGGTGGGGCTGAACGCCTGGACTCGGCCTCGAAGTGGGACGGGGAGGAAGGGCGGAGGGCGGAGTGACCCGAAAGTGAATGAAGAGCCCGAGGGCGTAGTGAGCGGACCCAGGGGGCGGAGCTATACCGGAGGGCTGTACGACAGGACCCTGCCAATGCAGGTGTCCAGGGTTGGTGGGGGTGACACAAGACGGCTCAAGGCGGAGCGACTTACAGGGAGACGATACTTGGAGTATAACGTCAGGGTCTGAGCTAGCCTCTCTCTCCCCCCAGTCCTGTGTCCCTTGATCTGTCACAACGGCGGGGTGTGCGTGAAGCCTGACCGCTGCCTCTGTCCCCCGGACTTCGCTGGCAAGTTCTGCCAGCTGCATTCCTCGGGCGCCCGGCCACCGGCCCCGGCCATGCCAGGCCTCACCCGCTCGGTGTACACCATGCCACTGGCCAACCACCGCGACGACGAGCACGGTGAGGAGAGTGCGGCCAGGGTCCCCTCTGACCCATCTTTTCACTATCTCGCCGTTTCTCTGACCCTCATCTTTCCTGCCTTCCCCTGGGTACCCTTCTCCCGTGCGCCCTTCCCCCCATTCCTAGTCCCAGTCCGTAAGGACCCGTGTAGACACGCCTCTGCCCTGCCGTGCCTCCCTCCAGGCGTGGCGTCCATGGTGAGCGTCCACGT